TCTGAGCCTTAGCTTTATAGTATTCCTTTGTGTGTACTAAAATGGAAATTTTGCTATAGAAATCTGCATCCTATTTATAGATCCCTTTAACTGCCTCTCCCCCGGTGGGAGTGGGCTTGTTTTCTCCCAGAAGTGTTTGATAGTGTTTTTTAAATGGTTATAAACGTTAATGTCAAGCCACCTAGGAAGATCAGACAAATACTTTCAAGTTGTTCCTTTCCAAGTGTTTGCATATTACTGTATTGCTAGTTTTATTTTTAGAATCATGGCATAAGGATTACTAATAATGTTACAGAAGAATGAAGAAACTAAGGTTAAAACATTAATAGCTTGTAAAAATAAAGGACAGATTCCCTTGTAAACCCCCCAAAAGTCTCACCATGTCAGGCTATGAAGCATATGACTTAAAGGATCAAATGATCTCCCAAAAAAGTAGGTAAGGACATGGGGTATGGGGTCAGAGCGAGCAGAAGCCTATTTCTGGTGCTCTGTGAACTTGGGAAGGTTAGTTAATCATAGAGAGCCTGTGTTCTAGGCTCTAAAATGCCTAGGTTATGATACCTGCGTCACAGAGCACTCACAAATATTGCTGCTCCCACGCGGTGGCTCCGCGGTGAGTTGATGTTAGCATAACTAAAGTGTTTCAGTGAATGTGAACCAAGCCTCTGCTTTTGTGTAGGAAGCAACTTTCCATTTAATAAATAGGGAGAATTAATAGCAGATAAGACAGAAAAGGAGATAGGATTCATTTTATTTAAATACAAAGTCATTCAAGATTTTAAGAAAAGAATGTCTACTGCCTTTCACAAGAGGCTCAGAATGGTGAACACAGAGTGATGGGAGAAAACTCAACATTTTATGCAACTGGGCGTGCTTAAACTAGATTTTCACCAATTTGCTGCCTAGCAACCATGACATTTGTCCTTGTCACTCTGCAGGGAGCCACTGAGCAATTTCACACAGGTTGGACCCAAGAAGGGTTTTTACTCCATCAGCCAAGGTAAGGTAAACACGTTCCTACAAAAACCTTGTAGAGATCGCTGAATTCATTTTAATGCTGGCTTAATCTGGTTTCAAAAATGCAACCAAAAAAAAAAATGCAGCCAATGTTCCTTCAGCTGTGGTCCATTAACTACATAGATCAGCATTACCTGGGCAAAAACTACAATGCAGCTGTTAACACGAACTGGAGAGAAATACTCCTCACAAAGGATCACAAGTGTAAAGCCCCGCATGGCAGTTAGCACTGTGGTCACGAGCCCAGGGGCTTGGGCAGGGAGGCAGGTGTCCAGACCCTGGATCTGTCTATTCCTAACTGTTCCATCCTGGCTGAGAAAGTTTCTTAATCTTCCCATGCCATGGTTTCCTCATTATTGGAAGGTACTGATGAACTTAACGATGCAGCACATACATGTAATTAGAACAAGTAAATGGCTTAGAAGTACAACTGGCACAGAAGTAAATAGTCAATAAAGGTTAGCTGCCATTGACAATTGGGGTCAAGGCTTTTGGCCAGTGTAATTCTCTAGGGTCATTTCTCTATCTTAAACCAGCTGCCTGGTGACCCCCTTTCTTTTTAATCTATTTTCTGTAGGCCTGACTATTTGTGTTCAATTACCAGGCAGGGATATTTATAATCAGACTTTATCTTTTTCCTATCCTCTAAACTCAGGTCTCTATTTTATCTCCATCCTTAAAACCAAGCAGAATCCTGGGAATTTTTTCAGGATTTACACTTAGACAGAAAAATTAGCATTGAATAAAATAGGTTATTCTAAGGTTCTCTCTCTCCTCTCATTCTCCCTCTTCCTGTTTGTCTCCCCTTCTCTCTCTCTCTTTCTTTCTTTCTTTCTCTCTCTCTCTCTCTCTCTTTCTTTCTTTCTTTCTTTCTTTCTTTCTTTCTTTCTTTCTTTCTTTCTTTCTTTCTTCTTTCTCTTTCTTTCTTCCTCTTTCTTTCTTTCTTTTTTCTTTCTTTCTTTCTCTTTCCTTCCTTCCTTCCTTCCTTCCTTCCTTCCTTCCTTCCTTCCTTCCTCTCTTTCTCTCTTTCTCCCTTTCTTCCTTCCTTCCTTTCTTTTCTTTTTTTGAGACAAGGTCTCTCTATGTAGCCCAGGCTGGCTTTGAATGCCCAGTGATCCTCCAGGCTCAGCCTTCTTGGTGCTGGGATTACAGGCATGTACCACCACACCTCACTCTACCTTTCTACCTTTCTCTCTCTCCTTTCTCTTTCTTTCTTTCTTTCTTTCTTTCTTTCTTTCTTTCTTTCTTTCTTTCTTTCTTTTCTTTCTTTCTTTCCTTCCTTCCTTCCTTCCTTCCTTCCTTCCTTCCTTCCTTCCTTCCTTCCTTCCTTCTCTCTCTCTCTTTCTTTCTTTCTTTCTTTCTTTTCTCTCTTCTAAACCTCATATCTATACAGTTGCAAAGCATGAGAAGATTTATTTGTGCTGGGGAGAGACAAATGCCCTTTCCTGAGTTTTGCTACATAAAAGTAGTAGTTTGGGAGCTACTTGGATGTGGAATAAAAGTCAGTCTAGTTGGTTTCTCTTTGGAGCAGGGAGAGGTTCTCTTAGGAGAAGAGAGAGGTTGAGGGTGAAATGTGAGAAAAGGAGCCTGAGCATAGTTGAAAGGAAATTAAGGCAGGAGGAAAAGTGAAGGCAGGAAATTTCCTCCTCGGAAAAGGGCAAAGAGTGGGTCAACCTGTTCTCACCTGAAGATAATGTTATCAAAGAATGTTGGGATCCATGTGGACATTTGAAATTGTTGTGCAAAAGCTCCGGAAATGCACTAAATGTAAGACCACTAAGGACTCCAGAATAGTCTTTTGAAATATCCTGTGTTGAATGGTTCTGATTTTCTGACAGTCTTCCCCTTGGAAAAGTAGTTGAACCTGGAACCATGATCTCATCCAGAGATCAGTGGTGGAGTCTGTGAAATGGTCTTGGGACTTAGGGTTTGGGCTGATTGGCCTTATTTAAAAGGGATATTTAGCAAAAAAAATGAGATAAAAAGAACCATGAGATAAAAGGCTTTAAAATTATGGAAGCACTTATAAATCCATAGTAGTTATGTTAAAAATAAGAATGAATCACTTCAGATGAACTTAATTGATTTCTATGACTGATAGACAGGCCCAGGAGATGGAATCATAAAACAAACTGCAAATGGAAATTTAATATGACATCTTCCTTACCAACCTAAAACTCAGCAATAGTAAGAAAGAATCTGAAGAAGCTTTTCATCTGGAATTTATTTTTTAATGTAATGTGAAATACAGACCTAACTTAATTTCCTTCCAAATGAATGTCCAAGTGATGTTTGTTAAATTCTCTGACCTTCCCAGAAGACTTTGATGTGCTACCTTCACCATTTGTTAAATAACTACACGCACCTGAATCTGTCCTAGGTCATTTGGCTTCACTTGTTTGCTTAGTCCATATCATGGGAGAGATGTAGAAGGTCCCAATTTATTTTTTAAAAGTAGCATTTCTTCAAAGCAAAAGAATAAAAAAGAATACTAGAACAAATTTCACTCATGCATACAAACGCACAAATTGGAAATGGTAGTAATTTGAATGCAATAGTGTATTAGGGTAATAGTACAACTTCAACAGGAAAGTTTATTCCAGTAACACAAAAGTGAATGCAGAGAACAGCCATTAATTCTATTACAATGCTAACACGAAGCAGGAAAGCTGTTTTACCGAGACTGAGTATGCACGGGCTAATAGGGCAGCCACTCTTTATAAGCATTTTAAAGAGACTAAGAAAGACACTTCTTAAAGCATGATTAAGAGATATCAGAAACCAACATAACATGCCTTATTTTGTAAAGTATCAAAGATAATAAAAGTCTCTCCTTAAAAACAAGAATAAGACAGAAAGCCCAATATTAGCTTATTATTCAACATTCTTTTAGCAATATTATCAATAGATTAAAACAAAATTAAAGAAATAGTACACTTATTAGAAAATATTTTAATTGTTTGCAATTGATATAGCTACCCATCTAAAAATCAAATACCTCCTAGGACAAGAGTTTAGTCAGTTAGTTGTTAATACTAGAAAATCAATATCTTATAAGAAATATCAGCAACTCATGGTAAAAAAGGTGTTGTAATCCAGTGTAGACTTAGGGAAATAAATATGAAATAATGGAATTGGGCAAACATAAACAGATGAATTTATGACAAGTGAAGATATGGACTAAATAGTACAAAATATGTATGATTAGTCATATGGGCATTGATAGGCACACTAAAAATGCAAAGTATTAATATAAATATGCATAAGAACTGTGAAAGGGTATTCTTATTGCATGCAGCTGCTATTAAACCCTGACTGGGACACCCACTTCCTCAGAATTAGACACCGCATTCAGACACTACTACTTTCAGTCTGGGCTAAATTTTCTTGTTGAATTTTCTGTAAAGGAAGAGCAGGCTTCATTTCTTCATTCTGAAAAGTATCCGCTGTGTGCAAACCCACTTCCTGTTCTGAACAGTCTAGAGTGAGGGCAGAATTTGATGCCTATTTGGTAGCCTTCTTGTACTCCAACTGACTGCATGCATTTGCTTGCTAACATATGATTTTTATCAGGTCCTTAAAGCTGGACCTATGGATGTACCATTAACTATTTCCATAATTAGTACTTAAAAGAAATATTCCTTAAAATAGAAATTGCATTATCTGAAATTCTCATCTAGTAGTATTTCTTATGACACAGTTCAACTAAGTAAAATAAAATTACCTATGCTAAAATATTTATGTGTTTGTCAACATGGAGATTTTAGGTAAAGTGAAAAAAAAAAAATCTAACATGTGAGCACTTCACCTGATAATGAAAAGTGACTCAGAGGAACCACCCGGAGGTGATGAAGGCTGGAGGACATCAACTCTTCAGAATGTGGGGAACTCTCTGCAGATGGCACCCACTGTAAATGGCATTCAAAACTCCCTGGGGGAAAGCAAACGTTCTATAAAGTAACAGACTGAAGCATCATATTTACCTCTTTCACCAGCAAATTTTCTGCCCTGTGCTCTGCATCTTCAGGCACTGTTGAGTACAATGTTCGGATATCCCAAGACACTGTGGCTGTCTGAGGAGAACAACGAAAAGAAATGGAGCCCTCAAGTTATTTTCATTCTTAGCACTGAAAGATAACAACACAGACTTTGTAGTTCTTACCAATTTAATTCCTAGGAAAGAAGATCCTAACTTTTTTTTGATCCTGCTACTAGCACCATCACACTTTCTGTTGTATCAGTATAGCTTACGATTTTAAGCTCATTTTCTGTTTCTGCAGAAGGTAAAAATTTGAGCATCTATACTTTTAGACTTTTTGTGTGTCTATTGGAGTCTTTTTAAATTGTAGCTGTTCATATTAAAGTAAATTTGAAATGATGGCACTACGTAGAAAATTGGTGTTCTTTTATTCCTATTGTAAATAATGTCTTTAATATCCACAAGGTAAACAGCCCTTTTTTGGAGCTGGTGTGAGTGTGTGTGTGTGTGTGTGTGTGTGTGTGTGTATGCACGGGTATGTGTGCACACACATGTGTGCATGTAGCAACAAGCTAGATGAAACAATGGTCTTTAAAGCAAAAGGGTCATGTTACTAGGGTCCTTATTTTTGCAGAAATAAGCAAAATATTTTTGAACTTCCATGCTAAACAAATAGAGTCCTATTAAATGGATGTACATAAACAGATATATAAGGCGCTTCTTAAAAAAACTGAGGTACAATTTCATAGGACGCTTCCTCTATACTTTTTCAACTCCATCGGGCTGGTGAGGAATGATTTGCCCTAAAACACTGGTTTGCATCAACAGCCCTCAGCTTCTGTCCGCCTGTACACCTTGGTGCTTTTATGTGCGTGCCAAGGGGATGAAGCCATGATATCCATGGTACCAGTCGTTGAGCTCTTTAATACTCCGTATTCCTCAAATCATGGATGATTTATCAGAGTGACTAAGGTTCATTCAAATTGGTACAGATGAAGTGCGTTTTTCTGGATGAATTATTACTGATTTTCTAGAATAATTTTGCGACTCTCAAAACTACCCTTAGTTTTGGAGAAGACGGGCAGGTGACGGGAGTCTAATCTCCTGAGGACACAGCCAGCGCAGCCAGCACAGCCACATGGGCAGCAGAGTTCCCATCGCCCTTTTCTTTCAATCCTCAACTCATATTTCCTTCAAACCCCCCTTTTCTTCACTCCTGACATGAAGGGAAGAAATATTGTCTGTTTTGTTTACTGTTATAATCCTAGGGCCAAGCTGGGTGCTTAAATAATTTTTTGGTGAATATATTGAATGTGTACAAGTATTGTGTGTCCATAGTGTGGATATGTGTGTGTGACTTGTATACTAGTGTGTGGTGTGCAAATGTGTGTCCATGAGAACATGTGTGGTTGAATGTAGTGTACGAGTGTGTCTGCGTGACTGTTGTGAGGGGGTATGTGACTATGCATGCCAGTGCGTTGTGTCTGAGTATTCCACATGCATGGTGAAAACGTGTGTATGGCACAGTGTATGGTACATGAGTGTGCAGTGTGGCATATGTGCATGTCTATGCCTATGTGAAAGCCTGTGATACACGAATGTGTCCATGTGATTGTGTTTGTGCATGCACATGTGACTTAGGAAGTATGGTTTTGTGAAAGAGGAAGAATGTCATGTGAATCTAACAAAACTGGAGAGTGAAAAAATAAGAAGACTATATTCCAGATAAATCTACAGTAAGAATAAATGCTCATTTTAAACACAGCTGTAGACTGAGCTCCCAGGGCCACTGCATTTGTACCCGGATCTGACTGCAGCTAAAGATTTGGGAAGGTTGTGGCTGTCAGTTCAAGCCAAATATAGACAGAGGGAACAAGCGTAGATACATAGATGGATTAGGGAGTGGTTATTTTCCGTGTAAAGTATGACTGAACCAATTTAGATCTTATTTAGATTTTACATTTGTAATTCATATTAATTTCCTCCTTCACATTACTTCTTTTATGGTAGTCACAGTGTTCAAAGGAAAACAGTAAATTAACTCTATTGAAAATTTGGGGTAGAAGATTAAAAGCCATGCCTAAATTGAGCTTTGGGGATTATGGCTGGATTTCAGTTACCTGGGGACGACTTTGTTTCCTGCTGAGATAGAAAATTCAAGATACACTGTGTTACTTGTATGGTTTCTGGAGAATATCACATGTTATAATCCATTGGAAACACTAGGTTTTTAAACATCTAATTCAAAAATTTGCTGTGTTACAATCATTACTTTATAATAAAATTTTTATACATAAAATATTCAAGATTGTCCTGTTTTTCTTTTGCTACCTAGAGCATCCCACTGCTCTCCTTTCCTCGAAAACAATAGCTGCTCTAAAATATTCCAAGTCTGATGGAGAACACAGTAACATGAATCCCAGTCAAGCTTATAGGTATACTATGAAGATAATAAAGCAGAGTGAGTAACTAGTGTAGCATTAAAAAATAATACTAAGTTTCACGCTTTCAGCAGCACACACATTAAATAGTAAATTTCACTAGTGTGGACTCAGGTTTTTAGGAAGAGTATTCAAATGGTTACTTGATGAGTGACGTCATGGAGCAAAAGACATAGGTCAATTGCCATATGCAATATAGGGACAGGACAATCATTCAGTTGGGGCTTCAAAAGCTGCCACATCACACATACAATGCCTTAAGTGAGTTCATCTCTAATCTACATACAATGCTGACTCTACTAAATAAGATAGCTATGCTGTAGTAGAGTTATATTCTCATGAAACAGAATATGGTAGAATATAGTTATATTCTCATGAAATCATGTGATAAATCTGGAACATTATTTTACAATGTGTGCAGAGCTAAGGCACAACTAATACTTGTATAAAGTACATAACTAATAGAAAAGAATGTATGCATAATGCATGCCTATAATATGCTACTTATCTCAGCTAAATACAAGCTATGAATATTTGCCTAGAAAAGCAAAAGGCCTCCATAAAGTTTCAACTTTAAGAAAGGTGGCATGCTGCCATTTATTTTGGATTTCTTTAGTGTTTCTCTGCTGAAGCAAAAATAAATCGATCAAATATTAAGTATTAAATTCCTATTAAGGGTATTAATATGGTTACAAAGAATTTCTTTTCTGAGAAATAGATGCTTTCAGGCCACTGCAAACTGCTTCTTTGGCCACAACAGACTTCCTGTTCTCTGTTATAGAACCTCCGCTGACAATTAGTACGGCTCAATAGCAAGAAACAGATCTGAGACCGTTCTGGCACTCAGCAGAGCTCCTCTTTTGATGGTAAAAGTTGTACAAGATGCTTATTGTCCAAAGACCTGGGGTTGGAGATAAAACCTGTCATAGAGTGATGCACTCAGCCTGGTGTTTACAATTTCAGGTCCACAACACTCAGACACCTTTGACTGCAGTTCCATTGTTTTCTGGTTCCTTCTACCCTGTAGCAAGCAGTCTTTGTGGTTTGGTTGTGCTCACCATTCTGCTGGCAGAAGCGAACAAAGAAGGTTTCTCTCCAAGCATAAGGGGGCCATAGCTCCAATGACCAAAGGCTACTATCAGAGATAAAAAACAAGGCTGCTTTTCCTATCCTTGGGCTGAGAGAGCCTCCTCTGACAGTACTGTAGCCTACAGCAGTTCAAAGAGGGGGACGGAAATGCGCGTTGAAGGTAATCAATGAGGCCCAGTGTGAGAAGTCAAAAGCCTAACAGTGGAAACTATGAGCTCTCACTTCAGGATCAATTCTGGCTCACACACCTGCCTAGAAAGCGACCTTCACCTAAATTCACCAAATTGACATTGACTTTGCCTTTTATTCTATTAGAGAAGTCACTTATATTACATTAGTTGCTTGAAAAATATTTTAAGTATATTCAGCAAAGCACTACTATGATTTTATCATTTACTTTTTAAATATACGGGAGTGTCTCTTTAATACTTTCATTGTGCCTTAAAGGGAAGACCCTTGTCATTTTGTTAAAAACTGGAAAAGTGCCTAAACGATAACAATTACACGTAGCTGTCATGACCCAGCCACATCAAGCGCGGGGACTTCGCCATCATCGTATTTAGGTATAAGAGTAAGGAGGAAGTTGAAGGTGTTTTACTATTGGAATGGAAAACTACTGAGCAAGTCATTTCACTTTTTTTGTCTGTGACTCATTTTATCAGCTCCAAAATGTGTGTCACTTCCTCTAAGGAGGTGAGGACAAAACATTCCTTTTTTCAAAAAAAAAAATTTTAACTGTATAAACTATATACACGGAGTACGGCGTGGTAATTTGAAACATGTACACAGTGTGCAGTGATCAAATCAGGGTAGTCAACATTTCCATCACCTTAAATATCTAACAGTCTGATGAACGTGCAATCACTGTGCACTCCACGCGTGGAAGTACGTGACCACTGATGAGAACAAAGGGCCCCATAATATGGAGTTCGTATTACACTAGGATGTCCCCAGAGCAGGGACTCGGGTCTATGCTCTGAATGTGACTATCCCGAAAGGCCCCAGAGGGAAGCCCCTCTGGTGCAGACACAGCCCCAGTAAGAGCAGGGGGCCTGAGACTCCATCCCCCCACCAGCCCCTCCCTTATGGCTGCCTAGCCCACATTCCTTCTACAGCCCGCCCTGGGCGCAAGTCTTCAGGGCCTTTACTCAGGCTCTTATAGGTCTCAGAAAATAATTTTCCTTCCTTCTTTCCAAATCTCAGATTTCTAATAGGTGTCAGATCCTTTTAAAAGTCTCTGGTTTGTCCAATATACATTTTTTTTTTCTTTAATGAACTCTATTATTTACTGTCTCTCTCATACATGAAATCTAGTTTTACACCCAAAAGCTATGCTGCTGATTAATCCAGTCAATCATCTTACATGTAGGTTTTATTGTATGTGAGAAAACCACATGCTATCTGCTTTGGGAATGAAATAAAACAGTTAATGAAATAAGTTTTGTTATGTTCATTTGCTGTTCTCATTTCCACATTTTTAAAGAATAAAGTACTTGACTATGGATGTGAGTTTTTATGATTTTTTGTATCCTATTTTTGAACATCCCTAACATCCTGTCCTAAT